AAGTGAAAATGAACATTAAATGAACATAAACTCAAGGATTAAACTTCAGAAATGAAATACATAAACTGTATTAAAATCACAGCACCAAACATACACACTGTTTCTAGGAAAAAACCTGAAACTTGTGACGGTTGCTAAAAACAAAGAAGTTACGGACTGCCAATATAAACTGCTACACCACTAAGCAAAATAAACAAAACTGCAACTGCCACCGCACAAGAACTAACATCACTAGTTAACAGACGTGATTTCATGCGTTAACAAGAACATCAATTGAAGCAGGGACTCTGCAACCAAAGTCTACACCGTATATATTCAGTGAAAAAACTTTTCGGCACTTCTACTCAGTCAATCCTTTGTCCCTCCCTTTCTTCACCTACTTCGTGTTGCGATCCTGACCCCAACCTCCCCCAATTTCCTTTTCCTTATTATCACTTTTCAAACTGTTTGCTTCTTCAATCTCAGCAACTTGCCCCCCAATTTCATCACATTCACTCTTCTCTTTAATGAATTTAAGAAGTTCTTGAAGAGCGACGTCAGCATCTTCACTCCTCATCAGTTCCCCTGCCACCTCTGCTGGGGTCACCTCCTTGCTCTCTATCAAGCTCTCGATTTCTCCGAACAGGGGATGGTTGCTGATGTCCAGGTAATTAGAAGCCAAGATCTTGAACGCATCAACCCTGCAATAGGACATGTTGACGTGCACGTCCATCCTGCCTGGACGCAGCAGTGCCGGGTCAAGCCTGTCCTTGTGGTTGGTCGTGAACACAATGACTCTCTCGCCCCCACAGCTTGACCACAGTCCATCAATTAAGTTCAATGTGCCAGATAGCGTTAACTGCATGGAGAAAAAACGGAGGAATTAGAGTCTCAAACATTATTGAAAGATTGAACGAAAGTAGTGGTCTTTAATCAAATTCAAACCCAAAAAAAGGACCTACCTTTACTTTGGAATTATCAGATTCTGATTGAATTTTTCTGTCTTGAACCTGAATGCCGCAATCTATGTCCTCGATCACAAGAATTGACCTGCTAGTTGTTGATAACAAAAATTTTCTCAATTTTGAACTTGATTTAATACTTGCAAGCTCCAGATCGTATATATCAAACTTGAGGTAATTGGCCATGGCAGCAATCAAACTCCATTTTCCAGTACCTGGAGGGCCGTACAACAAATACCCTCGTTTCCAGGGCTTCCCCACTTTCTTGAAGAACGCCCTCCTGCTCAGGAACCTCTCCAAATCATCGATTATCATTTTCTTCTGCTCCGAAGCCATGGCTACGGTGTCGAATGTGGCTGGATGCTCAAGAATCGCGGAACTCCAGCGGGGTGGTTTACGAGAGCCAACACTATAGATTTTAACCACTTTGTTCTCCTCTTTGATTTGTTCAGCCCTGGCCAAAACATGAGGTAAATAAACGGCGACCACTTGATCTTTGAACTTATTGCGGAAAGTGAGTTCGAAGAATTTTTCCTCTGTAAATCCTTCGTTCGGATGAGTCTGTGTGTGTTCACACTTATACCTCCATTTCAACTGAATTTCCTCAAAAATATCGACGATCTCTTCACCATTATCCATTGAGATAGCGAAATTCTCTTCACTCGTGGTTTTGCTGAGCCTGACCCGCTTTGTTTTGGGCCCGATCTTGGTGGGGAGATAGAGCTCGGCGGCATCATAGACTTCGTTTCTTGACATGTAGCGCTTTTCGTTGATAACGAGAGTGAGCTTGGTAGAGGGACCGCAGTGAAAGAGGGCTAAGAGGTATTCAAAGAAGGATACGTGGTAGTCAAAGAAGTAAGTTTTGAGCGGGTCAAGAATGACCTCGCTCGCCAAGGATAGGATGAGCATCAAGATTCCGGCTAAGGAGACGGAGGTGGAGAGAAATCTGGATGCAATGTCGAATATGGAGGCCATTTCTGATATCAGGAGATGTTGGAGAGATGGGATGCTAAGTATTGGGTGAGTCCCCCAATTTATACAGTGGCAATGCCGAGTCGCTGCCGCGTCAATGCACGCTTCCCTACAATT